TGAATGTACTGCTGCACATAAATCAAATTTCTAGAAAAATATCGTTAAATTTCCTGGAGAAAATTATTTTAAAGGAAACAAATTCAACAGTAATCTAATTATTTAACTCTTTTAAAACCTGTTGGTATTCCCTTAAACAAGTCACGTTTTTCAATATTGTTTAAGGTTCCATGTCTAATAGCTATTTCGTGATGTTTTTCTTGGGCATTTACCTAACCTCTGATTTATTGCTTTAAAAAATCCAAACTGATTATGCTACTCGCTAATCTTCCTTTTTATCTTTTCCTATAAAACAGGGACAATATTACCTGCCTTTCAGAATATAATGTAAGGACGTAAGCCAGTGTGTACGTTCAACAAAAGTAGCTATTCCTTTAGTGACCCCTTCTCAAAATTAAACAAATTTCTTCTTATTCCACCTCTTCACTGTTTTTTCTTCACACAGAGGCTTCTTCTCCTGAGCTGCAGTCAGGGCCCATCATTATCTAACACACAAATCATGAACTTGCTAAAAATATCTATGCTCTAGAGAAAACACACTTATTCTGTTTTTCTCTAAGAGTAAAATCTAATCTTTAATGTTTTAAAAGAAACAGACATCAATTGTGCCATTTCTGATAACAGTACAATAACACCAGCCATTCTGTTTCAAAGTTATTAAATCCTAAAACCACAGACCCAATAGATAACATTTAAATCAAGCCATGCTGTGGAGTTATCTGTTTCTGACCAAATGTGAAATCTGTTCACCTCCAAATGTTAAAGAAAATCCTCACTGCCTGAAGATACAAGAGGACCTACAGTTGTTCTTTGGTTCTGGAAGAACTGAGAAAATGTAAATACCTCTCTAAAAACCAGAGAAAGAAAAATGTCTCAGCAAATCACACCAAGTTCCCCAATCCCTTTTGGATTAAAAAAAAAAGTCTGAAATGTTCCCCTGTGCCCTGCCACCTCATCACTAAACTCTCTAAGAAACAACAGTCAATATAAGTCAGTCAGAAAATGCAGCCTGTCTTAAATATCCTTAACCCAATTCTGTATTTAGGTAAATTCCTCCATTTAACAATTTGCTTGACTTTTATATGCTATACTTATTT